CACTTAATTCATTTATGAGGGAAAAAAAAAACATAGGAAAGAATCAAGGAAAGGTAACAGCAACATATGCTCTTACTTAACACCCAAACACATACCATCCCCTGAATGAGGCCTTCTCTACCAGCCAGAATTTCTTTTCAAAATAGTTATTTATGAACATGTCTTACCCTTTCCACTAGATTGAGAGTTCCTTCAGCCCAGTAGCCATTCCATATTTACCTTTGTAACTTATGTTGTATATATCACAGTGCTGGATATGTCTTTTCAATGAGTACCCTTGTGCTATATTTATTTGTGTGTATATTAATGCATGTGTATAGACCTGAAACCAAGTTCAGCACTGATATATATATATATATATATATATATATATATATATATATATACAAGAAATTAGGAACTTTCTGAAAGCTTAAGTTACCTTTGATAACAAAAGTGCTAATATCAGTTGCTTACAATACTCCAAAGCACAAACACAAATATTTCATGTGTACCATAAATTGTCTGTTAAAAGTCTAGCCCTACATTCTTATATAAATATAAAAACATGTATAGGGCCAAAGATATAATTTTGTCAAAGTAAAACCAACTATAATTTGTAAAATAGCAGTCTGTGCTAAGAGCTTTATTAGAAAATAAATCATTTACTCACCTATTAATGTTCACTGTCATTCAACAATAATAAAAGTCTTACTTTCCTTATCTTAATTTTAATTCAAAATGTCATTTTTTTCTGATGGCCAATGTTTACCTTCTTATTTGTGTGTGTGTGTGTGTGTGTGTGTATGTGTGTGTGATCTCGATATTTTTAGTGAGCAAATTTATATTTTAAACCATAACATCAATAACATTATATTAAGCTTTGAAAGAAAAAGAGTGGCATTTAAAGCCTTTTTGAAGATTTTTTTTTTATTAAATTAGTGTTATTTCAATATTTCTCAAAAATACATCTAAAGATCATATTAGAAATTTGCTGGAAATTTACTAATTAATAAATGAAGATAAAATTTAGGTAAAAGAAAGAGTGCTTGAAATGTAACTGAAAGTAGAGATTTCCAAATTCTAGACTATAATGAAAAGTGAGTTACTGTATTTTTTCTTTAAAAAAAAAAAAGTTGTAAGTAGGCAACAATTTTGAACCTGTGAAGTTTAAGTTTGGAAAAGAATTGAAACCATAAGGATTTCAAATCATTACAGATTTTATCACTTGTACAGTAACACCCAGGAAAGGCTACATTTTAAGTGATGATAGAATCACCTCCAGACCCATCCCAGGCAACATACGCTACTTGATCATGGTGAAGGAAAGGATGAATCCTTTTGTTAGATAGTATTTTAAGTCATGATTTAAAGCTATGCTGTCAAATGATTCAAAATTGTTCATACAGTCTTAAACGAATAACATGACTAAGGTTCTCATCCATAAACTTGATGACATTTAGATTTTGAAATTATATTCTAACTCCTCATTTGCCTGAAAATTACCCTATGTCAATATTACAGTAATCACATCAATGCAATCCATGCAAATATAAGTCTCCATTCTCTCCATCTGTCCTTAAAAACCCCACTCAGCAGTTTGTGCTATAGCACCATGCTGCAGCATCCCAGCACTTGAACTTGGGAATAGGCTTTCCAGGAGTGCAGACAGAGCCCTTACCGCATTCCTTCTGAACCTCATCTTGCCTCTTGGGGGATTTGCTTCTGCCATTTCGCCTATACACAGATACACTCTTCTGTTCCAATTGTTAATGCAACATTGATGAAATATGAGCTGCTTCTTGGGTAGTATTTAAAAACGGCAGGCAAAAATCTCTATCAAACAAAGCTGCCGTAGCTGCTTCCATTAGCACAGTGGCAGCAGCGCTGGGGAGAAAAAAAAAAAAAAAAAAAAAAAAAAAACCACTATCCCTGATTAGTCAGCTGACATATCCTTCCCTTCTGCTCGTTGTAATTCAGAGTTGACACATTCCTCCAATTACTTAGCCTGATTGAACCTTGTGGATTAGCTTGTGCTGGACTGCTCAAGAAGATCAGGCATGTCCTAAGAGTGGAAGAAGGAAGGAAAAAAACCAGCTCTCTTCCTAGGAGCAGGCTTGATGGGACTGGCTTTCTCCTCTCCGCAGTTTGATTTTTAAGGTGGAATGCTAAGAATCTTTGTGAAGGTAGTATTAACTCATGCTTTTTACTTTCATCCTACCCTGGTCTATGACTTAAATTTCAATTCTGTTTTGTTTTCTCTGTTATTAAATTATATTCTGGTTTCAGCCTTGTGAACAAATATAGTTTGCAAAATTTTGTACTGATATTAATCCAGAAAGAATAGAATATGCAAACTTTCTAAGATAGATAGGATTCTCTTCCAAATTAACCTTTCCCCAAAATGTATAACTAAAATAAAGTTTCCTTTCATTAATTATGAAATATAACCTAAATGCTTTTATTTATTTTGAAATCCACAAATAAAGGTCTTGAAATTGAATTGTATGACTATTTCACAGACACTTTTTTGAAATAATATACCACAGGCAATTATACCTAGCTACACAATGGTAGACTTCACTAGAAATCCCTTCTGAATGCCAACTTTTGCACTTGAAATGAGCTTGCATTCAATATTTACCTATATTTCAAACAGTAACCAACAGTTTGTTATTGTTGTTGTTTGTTTTTTTGTTTTTTGAGATGAAGTCTTGCTTTGTCACCCAGGCTGCAGTGCAGTAGCACGATCCCAGTTCACTGCAACCTCTGCTTCCCGGATGCAAGTGATTCTCCTGCCTCAGCCTCCCAAGTAGCTGGGATTACAGGTGCCCGCCACCACGCCCAGCTAATTTTTGTAGTTTTAGTAGAGATGAGAGTTCACCATCATGGCTAGGTTGGTCTCGAACTCCTGACCTCGTGATCCACCCAGATAGGCTTCCCAAAGTGCTGGGAGTACAGGCGTGAGCCACCGTGCCCGGCCAGTTAACCAACAGTTATTAATGGTTGAGATGTAATTAATGTGCTCTTGATTATGGGTAGAGAAACTATACCACAAGCAAAAACATTTAACATGTTAAAAAAGAAAAAGCTAAAACAACCTATAGCCAGTTACATGTGGTTGACACCTATACCCCTCCCTTGTCCAGCACGATCAATTTGGCAGTTATGAAAATAAAGGGACCCTGAGATCCAAGCTCTTTACGGAGCATAGGTCATAATTCTCCACTGAGAAAGCAGCCCTGGGAATACAGAAAGGGGAGTATCACTCCCCAGTAAACAAGTAATTACCCTCTGTTGACTTCAAAATGACAGGATCATGACCTAATCTTATATTTCTCTTTAATGAAAAATAGAACCTCTGTTACAAGCCACCTATTTTGAATAATAAAAATAAAACTCTACCAAAAAATAACTAATGTCATGTACCAGTCACACAATGAAAATTAATTTAATCAGGCAGGTGCAGTGTTGGCCAAAAGAAAAATCCTGGGTGATAAAAAAAAATGTTTTAAAGCAACAAGTGCTCTATTTAGTATAATAGAAGCCATTATTAGCATAAACCAAGGTCTACTCAATATGCCCAGGGACTGATCCTAAAAGACCAGAGCAAGGGAAATAGCTTTTACTTTATTTAGCCCCACTGATAAAGCTCAATCATATATGGAGAACAGATTTACTCTCTGAAAAGAAATTTTACCTTTTTCTAAATACCTTTGAATTTGTCCATTTGTAAGCTAGTTGGAAAATGATAGAAAGCATTACCAACTAGAATTCTTGGCATTTCAATTATTGCTATGGCTCTTTTGGTTACTTGGCTATTTGACCTTGGATTCATCACATAACCATTCCAAAGTGCACATATCAATGTGATTTCATCATCTGTAAGACAGTTATGGTGATACCTACCTGCAGTACTTATCAGGAAATGAAGTGAATCAATAACACTTAATAAATGTGAATGCTTTTGAAAAAGCACAAATATGCTATACAAAGTCAAGTTTTTTCTATTTTGTTTTACTAATCTGAGTGTATCTGATGTTAACTCTTCTCTCCACTGCTATTGATTAAACACCTGTGTTAAATAAACAGGAAACCACTTTTTGCTTATTTGTCCAAAATGAGAAATAATCCATTCTGGGTATTAAAAGAATAATGATCTTACTCATTTTACCTTGTGAGTGCTAGAACATTGGCTTGGAAGTCCAACAACCTAGATTTTTGTTTTGCCTTTGCAACTAAATCAACTTCTTGTGGTAAGTGTGACCTCCTCAGTCAGGAGAACAAAGTAAATGTTGGAATCTCAAAGAAAAGAATATATTGATTCCCAGCTACTCTGGTCTAATAGAGGAAGTTGGCCACATGACACTTCCACAGAGAGCCCCAATCTTGCCAGCTCAGAAGGAGTCTGGGGGTTCCTCATTTCCCTCCTCATCAATGAAAATAAAGTGTCAATTTCATGATATCCTTGTAAGCCTAAAAATAGACCATCTTGGTCATGGGCAGAACTGTATTTCTCATTGTTTTAATTACAGAAAATGTTTCTCTGGGTCTTGGGAAACTGGGGACTAGATACCAGTAGGGGAGATACATCATTTTATATGAGACTCGTCTCCCTACCCTATCCTAGGGTAAAATAAGTCTAGAAAGTTGTACACTAAAATGTTAAAAACTGCTTATTTTGGGGTCATTGGATTACCGACTATTGTTTTAAACTTTCTTCTTTACATTTTTCCACATACAATGAGTATGCAACAGAGCTATTTCCACTAAAAAAAAAAAGTTTCCATAAAACTTGCCTTGTTTGAACCACTAACAACTCACTCATTCTTATTAGGTTTTATTTTGGGTAGAGTTATTTATCTCAGTCTCCGCTACAACCTCTCCTTCTGCTTTCCCTCCTCATCATCCCATCTATTCTTATTGTCTCCATCAGTACCAAAGTAATCTATACCTCCCAAAACAGAAAGTATCATGTAAAACAAAAATTAAAAGTTACTGTACACTGCATAGATACTTACTGAGATTTTTTGGAGAGAGATTTTGAGAGAAGACCACGTATCCAGTCTTCGATCCAGAATAATGGTAAACCGGGAGTCAGATCCATTTTGCCTGCAAGATAAGAGGAAATAAGAACTTTTTCTTAATAATAATGCAAATTTGTTACATAGGTCTTCGTTCAATTTCTGAATATTTCATCTACATTTAATATCTTCACTGAGGAGAGATTTGGATTTGGAAAGCTACCGCAAAGTACTATCTTAGAAAACTAATTTGAATGCATATTCCCTTACTCACTATTTAAAATTCCTTTTGCAGCGTTAATGTCAATCTTTTAAATAGGAAAGTAATAGAGTAATGAAGATAGGTCACTAAAACTGATTTGAAATGCTATATAATCTTGGGTGTGGGAAAACTCAAAAGATAACTGTCCTTCATGCAATCAGATTTAACTTTGCGTGCAATTCATCATGAGACAATGATCCATTCACTCATTCAAAATAACACTGCTAAATCTATTTTTCTAACTCTAGTCTGCTCCTTGAGGAAATGCAGTTTAATGGAAAATATAACTTCTATTTGCCCTAAAAATATCACTTTCAAGCTTCGATAGGTACATTGTAAGTTTCATTTTTTCAGATTTGATTTTTGTTCATGAGACTCTGAATTTTATCATCCTAGATTTGTGTCCTCTTGTGCTTCAGGGTAACGAGAAAATGCTTCCTTTGAAAATTTTGTCTTTAACATAAATGAAATCTCTAAGAAACCTTTCAAAACTTTCCATTTTAAAGCATTCTAGTTCCAATAATTTTTAATATCAAGACATTCCTCCTAGTATCTCCTAGTACCACTATTGAATCTACTTAAGATTTGGTCCACTTGTGTTATATTCAGAAGGAATGAAAAATGGCTGTCCTCACTCTTGGCTGGTAATATTTCCTTTTAAGCAAATTAAAGTATTTATGTTTCATGGGAACAAATACTTCTAGATCCCCAATTTTATTTTCATAGACCATCAGTATAACTTTTGTAACAATTTAGGTAGCTGCCAGGTTCTCCTTCTAAGTTGCGCTTCTTATCTACTTTGCAGTTGGTTGATCATTTACAAAAATAATAATAGCTATATCAAGCCATTTTCCTGTTATGACATCCAGATGGATATGTGATATAAAGTGAATTGAAAAATTATGACGAAATATTATACCTTGCAATAGATGTCAGGTAAGTAAGCACTTTTGTTATTACTTCCTCTGGTATACATCTAAAATTACAGTTTTCTGGAAATGTAATAATCCAAGCATTGTCCTTTCCCCGGCCACCTACAATAATAGAAAAAATCAACTGAATTTAAAAAGTATATAACAATGAGGCAAGGAAGAGAATTTTAGATATGAATACTGTTTTGCCGCAACACAAAGTTATAAGGATTATGATCTCCACATAAACCAAAATGGCTCCAAGTTCCTGACACTTCAAGTTTAAAAAGTGGCAAAGTAGTTTCTTAAGAAAAAGGGAAAAAGAAAGAGAGTAAAATGAATGAATACAGTCAGAAGAAAATGTCATAAAATACATATAGTAAATATAGTTGAAAATAGCCGATTACCCAAACTGGACAACCAGAAGGTTGGGAAATGACTGTTTCTATACCAATGAGCCTAAATTCAAAATGGGTGACTGATGGCTTGACAGCAAGTGGGAAACTTGATATAATCGATCTCTTAGTGTCATAGTGAGCAGGAAAAGATACAGAGCACACTATAGGAAATAGGTGATGGTTTAATGTGTTTATGGAAGAAACAACAAAAGCAATAATGACAGGAATGACATAGGAATTTTATTAATGCAAAGAAAGATGACAAATTCCCTCTGGGTTAACATTCAGTGTTAACCTGGGTTCAGCCTGGGTCGGTGTCCAGGCAGAAGGATAGGATTGTGGAAGCTCCCCACAGGCCCATGCAGCTATTAACCTGGAACAGTTGTATCCAGCAGTATCTTGACCAAGTGGGTGACCTTGACCCCCGGTAAGCATGGATCCCAGGGTTTATAGGTGAGGCTGCCCTAAGCTCATTTCCATAGGAACAAGGAATAGTGGTAACTGTCATAGGGATTCTTGGTGGGGGAATGATTGCACTGGCTCTGGACTTTCATTCTGGTCTCTCCACCTGTTTCTCTATCCATCTCAGTAGCCCACTATGCAGCCTGGAGGATGAGAAATACTGAAAATGAAAGCCACCTAAGTGCAGAGATGAGCCTTACATGTGTTTAAGGTCCACATCTGCAGCCAGCCTAGCACCTACACAGAGCATGAATGCTCAATAAAGTGCTAAACAGAATTTGAAGAATTATTTTAGGATAAAAGTTGCAAGGTGGCCTTTGAATTTAGCTCACTAATAGAAACTTTTTGAGTTTAGTTGTAATTTTTATTTGGCTGAATTTAAGTGAATAAAGATGTACAAATTTTTAATTTAATCTGCAATAAAAATATGACTGTAGAAAAGGACATAGGCCAGGCACAGTGGCTTATGCCTGTAATCCCAGCACTTTGAGAGGCCAAGGTGGGAGGATCACTTGAGGTCAGGAGTTCAAGACCAGTCTGGCCAACATGTGGAAATCCTGTCTCTACCAAAAATAAAAAATTAGCTGGATGTGGTGGTGCATACCTGTAATCCCAAGCTACTCAGGAAACTGAGGCAGGAAAATCATTTGAACCTGGGAGGTGGAGGTTGCAATGAGCTGAGATCGCACCACTGCACTCCAGACTGGGCAACAGAGAGAGACCCCATTCCTCCCCTCAAAAAATAAAAAGAAAAAGAAAAGGATATAAAATGGAATCATAACAATATTCAATTCAAAAGAAGACAGAAATGAAAGAAAACAAAGAACACATGGGACAAATGGAAAACTCTACCATCTTACTGTTTGTATTTTCCTTATTATAAGATAGCAAGATGGTAGATTTAAATCCATCCATATGAATAATCACATAAAATGTCAATGACCTAGACACTGTAATTAAAAGTCAAAGATCATCACACTGGATAAAAAAGAAAGACCAAATTATATGCTGCCCACAAAAACACATGTTATAAACATTGAAATGTATCCAAAGCAAAGGATAGAAAAAGATATACTATGACAATACTAATCAAAACAAAGCTGTCTAATATTTGACAAGGTAGATTTCAGAGTAAAAAATATTACTAGATATTAAAATGATCATTTGATCATGATAAAGTGGTCAATTCATGAATGGGACATAATTTTAAATGCTTATGCACCTAATAACAGAATTTCAAAATACACAAAGCAAAAATTGACAGAACTTCAAGGAGAAATAGACAAATTCACAATTTTAGTCAGAAATTTCACTACCCATCTCTCAATAATTGATAGAACAAGTAGACAAAGAATTTGCAAGGATATTGTATAACTGAACGACAGTCTCAACCAACGTGACCTAATTGACGTTTCTAGAAAATTCCATCCAACAGAAGCAGAATACACTTTCTTCTCTAGTACACATGGAAAAAGATCAGATAAATTATTTGCCTCAATATTTACCAAGGGAAACTTGAGAGTACTCATTCCCAAATTAATTTTTTAATCAAACTAGTCCAAAATATTAAATCGAAGGGTTATTAATCTTCACTGTATGGTATTCTAGAATTAAAGAGTAGAGTGAAAATAATCACTGAGAATAAATGGCATCCACTCAAGAGTTGTTAAGAAACTCAAAGGAGAAACTGTATAATTCTGAACCAAGAGATTTAGTGAATCTTTAATCAAAGGGCCTCTATAAGTAGAGCATGATATAGAACTAGTAATATAAATAATATGTAATATATAATGTAATAAATATCTTAAATATAAAATAACTATATACTTGCCAAGCAAGCTAGTCACTCTTGTTAAGGACAGAACCATCTAGCACTTAGGCAAATTATACTTATCAAAAAAAAAAAAAAAAAAAAAACCCAGCAGCAAGGCTCCTATAAGAGTAAATTATCGTTGACTAATCTATAAGCTATTATTAACACTGAACACCTACAAGTACTGTCCTAAGTAGTAAACTTGTGAGAAGAGAACAAAAGAGATATTTATATTCCAAATTGGAAAGTTTTAATTATTATTATTATTATTTTGCCATTGGGAACCCTTTCTTCAAAGGAAGCTATAGGCAGAAGCATTTTTAAAACAAATACAAAAAGCAATTAAGGAAAGAAATGTGTAGAGTGGGGTCTGGATGAGTGCAGCAAGCCCTGAGGACGGTTCTATTTAGAACACAGTTTAGAAAACACAGATAATCTTAAGTAAAATCTCCAAAACTTAAAAGTAAACCTAACACACTGCTAAATTTACTGACACTGTCACACATTTACGCCACTTATAAAATAAAACATAAAGCCATAATTAAGTCATCACTAATTCACAGTTACCACTAATTAGAATCATTTTTTAATTAAGCTTTATCATAGGTGTAATTATAATCATTTAAAAGCAGAGGCCAGGGTGGGTGCAGTGGCTCACACTGAAGCACTTTGGGAAGCCAAGATGGGAGGATCGCTTGAGGCCAGGAGTTCAAGACCAGCCAAGGCAACATTGCAAAACACTTTTACTACAAAAAATATAAAAATTAGCCAGGTGTGGTGGCACACTCCTATAGTTCCAGCAACTTCAGAGGCTGATGTGGAAAGATCACTTGAACCAAGGAGTTTATGGCTATATTGAGCTATGATCGTGCCATTGCACTGGAGCCTGGGCAAAAGAGCAAGACACTGTCTTTAAAAACAATAAATAATGACAATAAAAGCAGAGGCCAGATTGAAGTGCCCAATTAGGATCACTTATAAAGTAAAAGTTTGTTTAGTGAACTGAGCATGTAGGTGTCACTTCTAGGAGAATTAATTTAACTATTTAAAAGGAATAAGATGGTTTCTTGTACTCTCGACACCTAAGAAGCACTCATCTTTATAAAAACAATTTATTAATATATACCAGTAAGATTTTCTTTATCTGCTTAATATGACAAATATAATCTTTAATGATATAATTCAAATTACTCTAATACTTGAGAGTAATTTGCTTGCTTTTAAGCAAAACTTTCCCTAAAGTCTGACCAAAAGCTAAAGGGGTAGGATGGTTTACCATAGTTACATCTCTAAAAACATGTAATGCTATTTAGTGGCATTATTCACAACAGACAAAGGGTAGAAGCAACCAAAGTATCTATCAATGGATGAACAGATAAAACAAATATGGTATATACATAAAATGGAATATTATTCAGCTTTTAAAAGGAAGTTCTGACACATGCTACACATCGATGAAACTTGAAAACATTATGCTAAGTGAAATAAGCCAGTCACAAAAAGACATATACCATATGATTTACTTACATTAGGTACCTAGGACAGTCAAATTCATAGAGACAGAAAGTAAAATTGTGGTTGACAGGGGCTAGAGAGAGGAAAGAATGAAATGGGGGGTAATTGTTCAATAGATATAGAGTTTCAATTTTGCAAGATTTGAAGTTCTGGAGATGGTGGTGGCAATGGTGGCACAAAGATGTAGACACACTTAATGCCGCCAAACTCTACTCTTAAAAATGGTTAAAATGATAAATCATATATTAAACATATTTTATCACAATTGCTAAAAATTACATACAAATATATATATATGAGAAAAATCAACTTTATAATGTATAAATGAAATCCTAAAAAAAAAACTTAATGCATGCTGATTATTTAGTGAGTGCAACTTGCCAGCATTTGTAATAAACATTGTAGTAATCAAAGAAGTTGCCTCAGCTGCTCCCCTCCCACCCAGCCTGCACCCACCTAGGAGACATATTCTACTTTCAACTATCATAGATTTTTGAAGAAAGAAGACTCATCTGAAAGTCAAATGTACAAGAGTGGTAAGGTCGGTTTTACTCACATATCTAAAATGCTTAAAACTTCTAATTATTCTCTAAATGTCCATTTGTTTAGAAACTAGGTGCACAATGTATAAATGTTTATTAAAATAGTGCTTCTCAAATGAATATATATAATAGCTCTGCAGGGAGAGACAGAGAGAGAGATATTTATATAATAGGTACCAAACTAACTGCTAATCAAGTCATATATCTATCTGGACTATATATAAGAAAGTGCTTACCAGATAGGAAGGCGATGTCTTGCATTAAGAAATGACTGATGTCCTTTATACGGAGAAGCAGATTTGTTTCTATGACAAAGAAGAAAAGAGAGGAAATTACATATATATTAAGGTACAGCATTACATGATTTTAGACACAGGATTTCTCACTGTGTCTAAAATTATTCTGGGAGTCCCACAGGTCTGTGTCCATAGACACCGCTGATCTCTTTCCTCCTCTCAGCTACATGGCAAGGAAATCACACTCTTGAAAATATCACTGAATAAGTAGAACCAGTGACCTACTTCTCAGAATCTATGCCCAAGACAAACTACTCTCACCAGAAAGCCAAGGACAAAGGTGCAAACTCGAGGACATCCAGATTTATTTGAAGTGTAGATGGCCATGGGGAGACACTGTAGCAGATTGTCTTTCACTTCTGATAATGCCTTTCATTCTAAAAGCTTTATTAGCCATTACAAAGTGCTTTTTGGATTTTTTAATCTTATTGAATCCTTAAAAAATCCCTGAGGTGGGTATTGTTATCCCATTTTACAAGTGGTGAACCGTATAGGCTTCTGAGTCTAGACAGATGTGGATTCAAATCCAGCTTCTTACATTGACTGGCCATGGAAATATGGACAATTTAGTTAGCCTAGCTAAACTTTAGCTTCCTCAGCTATGAACTGGGCATAATGATATCTACCTCACAAGGTACCATGCAAACGAAATTTGAAATACCTGGCATAATGGTAGGTGTTCAATAAATAGTAGCATATTAACTCATTTTTTATCATTATAGATGAAACAATGTCCATGCATTTTTCAATGTGCTTTGATTGTCCCAGATCTTAAGTGTTAACTTACAATGTGCAATTCTAGTGAACTCTATAGGGGCCAAAAAATCAAAGTACACTACCTGCCTCTGGTCAATGAACAAGGATAACTTTTTAAAAGAAAATGGGTCATCAAACTAGGCTATTTTGGCTTGTCAGTTTTAATGCCTGTGGTTCCACATCTCTTACTGAAGCCATATTTTTCACCTGCCTTCTGATACAAAGTGCCTTCAAAGTCCTGGTCTCTGGTGGTGTCAGCCTGATGATGCATTACCCTTCTCAGTGCTCCTCAAATTATACCACATGAATGTGGTTTATAAAGGATAATCCTCAAAGGAATTTCAAAAAACAGTTCTCAATGGTTCCACAATAGACAGCGGAATAAGTTATCTGTTACAGAACAATCCTCCCAACACATGATTTGAAACATAAAGCAATTTTAATTGACATTTATTTTCCTAAGATACATGCCATTACAAATCTCTACTTTGTCAAGACATAAAAGTCATTTCTTAAAAATGTTGTGTAATTTTATATATTTAGACTCTTGATATATTTCAGACCAAGGCATACACATTTACACATGCAGTTATTCTTCCCATGCTAGATGTTTAATCAGATAAAAGAATGTCTTTGTAACAGCTACAAACATGTGTTCCATATTGACATTTTTAGGATGGAGCCATAGAAGAAAAGTGAGAATGAGGGTAATACAAAAAATACAAGAACTCTCTCTCCCCTCAGGAGCCTCTAAAAGTGGCAATAGCTGAAACATGTTCTACTTTTTATTTCTTTATTATTATGATTATTATACTTTAAGTTCTGAGATACATGTGCAGAACATGCAGGTTTGTTACACAGGTATACATGTGCCATGATGGTTGACTGCACCCATCAACCCATCATCTACATTCGGTATTTCTCCTAATGCTATCCCTCCCCTAGCCCCCCAACCCCCAACAGGCCCTGGTGTGTGATGTTCCTTTCCCTGTGTCCATGTGTTCTCATTGTTCAACTCCCACTTATGAGTGAGAACATGTGGTGTTTGGTTTTCTGTTCCTCGTTGGTTTGCTAAGAATGATGATTTCCAACTTCATCCATGTCCCTGCAAAGACATGAACTCATCCTTTTCTATGGCTGCGTAGTATTCCATGGTATATATGTGACACATTTTCTTTATCCAGTGTATCATTGATGGACATTTGGGTTTGTTCCAAGTCTTTGCTATTGTGAACAGTGTTGCAGTAAACATGTGTGCATGTGTCTTTACAGTAGAATGATTTATAATCCTTTGAGTATATATCCAGTAATGGGATTGCAGCTTCAAATGGTATTTTTGGTTCTAGATCCATGAGGAATCACCACACTGTCTTCCATGATAGTTGAACTAACTTACGCTCCCACCAACAGTGTAAAAGCATTTCTATTTCTCCACATTCTCTCCAGCATCTGTTTTTTCCTGACTTTTTAATGATCACCATTCTAACGGGCATGAGATGATATCTCATTGTGGTTTTGATTTGTATTTCTTTAATGACTAGTGATGATGAGCTTTTTTTCATGTTTGTTGGCAGCATAAATGTCTTCTTTTGAGAAGTGTCTGTTCATATCCTTTGCCCACTTTTTGATGGGGTTGTTTTTTTCTTGTAAATTTAAGTTCCTTGTAGATTCTGGATATTAGCCCTTTGTCAGGTGGACAGATTGCAAAAATCTTCCATTCTGTAGGTGGCCTGTTTGCTTGTTCACTCTGATAATAGTTTCTTTTGCTGTACAGAAGCTCTTTAGTTTTATTAGATCCCATTTGTCAATTTTGGCTTTTGTTGTCATTGCTTTTGGTGTTTTAGTCATGAAGTCTTTGCCCATGCCTATGGCCTGAATGGTATTGCCTAGGTTTTCTTCTAGGGTTTTTATGGTTTTAGGTCTTATGTTTAAGTCTTTAATCTATCTTGAGTTAATTTTTGTATTAGGTGTAAGAAAGGGGTCCAGTTTCAGTTTTCTGCATATGGCTAGCCAGTTTTCACAACACCATTTGTTAAATAGGGAACTCTTTCACCATTGCTTGTTTTTGTCAGGTTTGTCAAAGATCAGATGGTTGTAGATGAGTGGTGTTATTTCTGAGGTCTCTGTTCTGTTCCATTTATCTATATATCTGTTTTGGTACCAGTGCCATGCTGTTTTGGTTACTGTAGCCTTGTAGTATAGTTTCAAGTCAGGTAGCATGATGCTTCCAGGTTTGCTCTTTTTGCTTAGGATTGTTTTGGCTATACAGGATCATTTTTGGTTCCATGTGAAATTTAAAAAGTAGTCATTTTCTAATTCTCTGAAGAAAGTCAATGGTAGCTTGAAGGAGACAGCATTGAATTTATAAATTACTTTGGGCAGTATGGCCATTTTCACGATATTGATTCTTTCTATCCATGAGCATGAAATGTTTTTCCATTTGTTTGTGTCCTCTCTTAGTTTCTTGAGCCGTAATTTGTAGTTCCCCTTGAAAAGGTCCTTCACATCCCTTGTAATTTGTATTCCTAGGTATTTTATTCTCTTTGTAGCAATTGTGAATTGTAGCATGTGAGTTTGCTCATGCTTTGGCTCTCTTTAAGTCTGTTATTGGTGTATAGGAATGCTTGTGATTTTTGCACATTGATTTTGCTGAAGTTGCCTATCAGCTTAAGGAGATTTTGAGCTGAGATTATGGGATTTTCTAAATATACAATCATGTCATCTGGAAACAGAGACAATTTGACTTCCTCTTTTCCTATTTGAATACCATTTATTTCTTTCTCTTGCCTGACTGCCCTGGCCAAAAACTCCAATACCATGTTGAATAGGAGTGGTGTAAGGGAGCATCCTTGTCTTGTGCTGGTTTTCAAAGGGAATGCTTCCAGTTTTTGCCCATTCAGTATGATAGTGGCTGTGGGTTTGTCATAAATAGCTCTTATAATTTTGAGATACGTTCCATTAATTATCTAGTTTATTGAGAGTTTTTAGCATGAATGGGGTGTTGGATTTTATCAAAGGCCTTTTCTGCATCTATTGATATAATAATGTGGTTTTTGTCATTGGTTCTGTGTATGTGATGGATTATATTTATTGATTTGTGTATGTTGAACCAGTCTTACATCCCAGGGATGAAGCCAACTTGTTCGTGGTGGATACACTTTTTGATGTGCTGCTGGATTCGGTTTGCCAGTATTTTATTGAGGATTTTCATATCAATGTTCATCAGGGATATTGGCCTGAAATTTTCTTTTCTTGTTGTGTTTCTTCCAGGTTTTGGTATCAGGATGATGCTGGCCTCATTAAATGAGGTGGGGAGGAGTCCCTCTTTCTCTATTGTTTGGAATAGTTTCCAAAGGAATGGTACTCCTCTTTGTACCTCTGGTAGAATTCACATGTGTTCTACTTTCTAAATGAGAGAGCATCAGACATAAAAATATTCCTGCATAATAAGAGACCCAAATTTCTCCCTTGCTTTGATCAGTAGAAACAAGTATAAAGATAAACTGATTCATTTTATGCCAGGTGGCAGATCTGGAAATACTAATATGTACAACTTGATTCCTCCAATGTCACTCAGACTCTTGCATAGCTATGGAAATGATGTTCACTTACTCTACGTTTTAAGCACTCATGTAATGAGAGAGGCCTCAGGACACAAAATAAAAGTCTGTGGGCTGGGAGTGGGAACGCCAGGGCCTAGTGTGAGCTGGACTACTGAGCTGCTCTGTAATTTTCAACAAGTCACTCCCACCCCTCACCTCATTACCCCATTTTATTTTATATTTCTTATTCTGGTAAAAATATACATATAAAATTTACCATTTTAAGTGTACAGTTCAGTGGTGTTAAATACATTTTATTTTATTTTATTTTATTTTATTTTATTGCATTTTAAGTTTTGGGGTACATGTGAAGAACATGCAAGATTGTTGCATAGGTACACACATGGCAGTGTGGTTTTCTGCCTTCCGTCCCCTCGCCTGTATCTGTCATTTCTCCCCATGCTATCTCTTCCCACTTCCCCACCCCCCGTCCCTCCCCTATTTCCCCCCAACGGACCCCAGTGTGTAGTGCTCCCCTCCCTGTGTCCATGTGTTCTCATTGTTCAACACCCACCTATGAGTGAGAATATATGGTGTTTGATTTTCTGCTCTTGTATCAGTTTGCCGAGAATGATGGTTTCCAGGTTCATCCATGTCCCTACAAAGGACGGGAACTCATCATTTTTGATGGCTGCGTAATATTCCATGGTG